ACAACGCAGTAAATGGCCCAAATAACAGCTCCTTGGGCTATCCCATGTAAGGATAAACCTGGACCATCAGCATCCAATCTTTGCTCAAAGCTGTTGCTACTGCCCTCTTTTGTTTACATGCACTGGGCATTTCAAATGCAGGTTTCCTTTTCGGCCAGCAAAACCACCCACCCCTTTTTGGGGGGTTATCTTGCAGCCCACTCCCCCCTACACGTCCTGTTTAACCATGTAAAGTGGGCTTTTACAGCTTCCTCATTTCTACTACAGAAGAGACTGATGTTATCTGATAACACAAAGAATCAAAGAAAACAATTTCCATCCAGGACCTCAGTGTTGTTAAACTGACATATTGATAACTGCCAAAATTACGTTAGTCTCACCACACGTGATATCATTTATTTCCGTTGAATTAGCTCTTTATCTAATTTGCTTGGACACACCCTTGAACAAGGTATCTGCCCTCCCTCATCATCAGAAAAGAGGTCAATGTGAGATTCATTTTGAATTCTGTTCATTTGGGGAACTAGCTTGAACTAGACCATCTCCTTTCTGTCCTGAAAGCCTTAATATTTGACTCATGTGATGTGAGACAGAAGACAGAACAATTATTCAATTTTAAAAGAGACATTATATAAAAAAATAGCCAATCGTCCCAGTTAGTGTTTTATATTATAACGTTATCCAGCTAATCTAAAATACTTTCCTAACAAAATAACGCCGTCAACAATGTGTAATAATCGCCTAAAAGCATGGTTAACGCGTGAACACGATTAAACTACGGTGGAAACCGACACCGTGCCCGTTGAGCGCAGTGTTCACGCGACCTTCTCTCCATAAACAGTTGGTCACCGAGCACGTACGTAAGGATGTCAGACAACTGCAGCTTTAAATGGGCCCGATTAACGTGAGCTACGTTACCTTTACACCAGCTAAATCCGTCAAATCCTGACGGCAAACTCAGGCTATACGTTCAGCTAAGTGTTTAAAAAGATGGGGCTAAATGATGGTTTAAATATTGGGGGGCCCATTTCCGTGCACCCAGTCCAGGAAGCGTCTCATTCTAACGTAAACAATTCCCCTTTTATATTTGCATACACAGGCAAACTTAAGCGTTTGAAATATTTTTAGAAACCTTCCTCTTTGAGTTGACTGTTAAAAATAAATAACACGTCTGTCTGTTTGGGGTTTAAAAAGTCCATCAAAGACAGCAGCTTTGAGTGGTTCGCAAACACAACACACTCCGAGCTGACAATTCAACTCGGAGCCGCAATCCGCCATGTTGAAAAAAAAAAACCTGTCTAAAAACACAACTTTGCCTGCTGAATTACCAACAGCCGCAGAGGCCAGCTCACCAAGCAAAACAAAACAATAAAAACAAACTAGATTAACAGTCATAATGAACAAACTCTCACCGGCGGCGGGCGGATCTTGCAGATGCCAGTTTTCTCTGCAATTGGTCGTATTTTGTTGATGTACGCAAAAGGGTCGGCAAATTCCTCCCAGCTGGGCTCAAAAACGGGGCACTCCGGAGGGGGAATGAACTCATTCAGCTGAGGCTGAGTCATCGTTGCATCTTCGTTATGACTGCGTGCTGAAATATGTTGAAGTGGTTCCTCCTCACGAAGAATATGCTCGCTATGAATTTCTGCCTTTCAGTTCATGTCCACTCTCCACTCATTGAACTCAAAGACGAATTATCTAGTTGGAGACGAGAGGCTGACAGCCAGAGAGACGGTGCACCTCCGCTTCAGGAAGTAAACCCCCCCCCCACGTTATCTACACCCCGTATGTGGCTGTTTCTCACGCAAAACTCACAGTTCTGCGCCTATTTCACATATCAGTTCAGACTGTGTGTATAATAGTTTTTTTTTAATCACGCCCACACACCTCTTATGGTGCCTGTTTTTATGTTTGAAGCAGTTAAATGCCCGCAGGACTGTGTAGAGTAAACGCTTTAAACGTCATTTCCATACTTTAATATCGTGCTAAATAAACTACAGTCGAGTTTGCTTTCACACAGTTAACCCAGTGTGAGCGACACACTCTACAGTTAGGGATTATATAGTTCATTGGTTCCGTGGCTTCCTCCCAGATGATTGCTCCCCTGTGGGGTGGGTTTGATTCGGACACCTTTTGGCGTTTACAAATGTAAGGATCAGCTGGATTCGGCTCTTCTTTACGCCGCCCGGCTTCGCCGAAAGAATGGACATTTCAGGCGGTACGTTGGGTTTCCTAATCGAGCACACCCACTAGATCGTTGCGCCCTGACCGGAACTTTGTTTTTAAATGGTCTAGAGGAGCTCGTTGATTGGTAGACACTACAGTCATATGTTGATACTTCAGCTGTTTATGTTTCAATCACACACATTTTGGTTAAGCCATGTCCTCTATACCAACTCCCGACCGGCTCTAGCGTGAAGTTTATAATATAATTATAAACCTTTATAATAAAAGTCAAATTACTATATTTTGAAAATGTGTTTGGGACACTTTTAAGTGTTTAACAAAAATACAGAAAGAAACATACTTTTAAAATCTCTACATTGTAGGGGTCAACCATGTGACTCGCAAATGCTTTTATCAGGGTTTCGTCTGTGCCAAAAATGTTTCAGTATAAAGGATCTCATTGTTTTTTTTGTTATTAAAAATAAATCTTTGTTCACACATTTATTTGGTGTTTTTTATTTTTATTTGGCTTCATCTATTGTCTATTGGTTGTTGAGCATCAGAAACAGCTTCACTGCCAAGTAGTTTTTACACATACAAGGAATTTGCTTTGGTTATAGCTGCCAGACATAAACCTATATAAATACATATGGAATAATCAATATGTAACAATGCCTATCTATTGAAGTTGCCTATTATTACCAGAGGTCCTTGAGGGGTTGCAAGGGGTCCACAGCAAAAAGGGGAATAATGTATTTTCATTATAATTCCATCTATAAGTAACAGAACGTATGACTAATTGGGTCATGGGTTACATACTGTACACTTTCAGTAATCAAAAATCTAAAAGATTAACAGATGGGAGACCCTGGGACAAAATCTTATCAAATGGGGTTTCATGGTCTATCAGTTTATGGGTCCTTGATGTGAAAACGTTTGAGAACCACTGCTCTATCATGTCTATTGGCATCTGTTTATTTGGTCTATTTTTACTGAGCTGAGTTGTATCATCCTATAACATTAGTTATATGTATGTATGGCACCGATTTAATCCCATAATGTAGTTAAATATTTACTGATTTTAGTAATATTTAACTGAAAGGGGGGCCTTCATTTTGACTGATGTCTGCTGTATAGATTGTAAAGCCCTTTGAGGTAAATTTAGGGCTGTAGCCTGTAAGTTGTCTCAGCTGAGTTAAAATCTCAGATTTCATGCGTTAACTGCTGAGCGTGACCTACACCACTTCATCTCTCTATCGGTTTATGAGACTGATTTGAATGTCCCTGTTCTCTGTTTCGTTTGAACTTCCCGTTGGTGGATTTTGAACAGTCGACTATAACGGGTGCGCATGACAGGTGTCTTTCAAGATCAACTGCACATATTCAAAGGTGCTGAAGATCACTCTAACAAAAGAAACATTTGGATCATGTTTGACTTTGAGTATTTTTTATCGAGTAATTTGTTGCTGGACATAATTCTTTATATTCTCTGCATAGCTGGCACATGTCTCTGTTCTACTTAAATAATGTACAGTTTTCACCAGCTATTAGATCTCACAAAGGATATAAATCCATAATGGGAAGGGAAGCAAGCTCCAGCACAATCACTCTGTGACAATCACGCTGACAACCACCACTGCCATTGATTTGGTGGGGTTCAGCTAGGTGGGGGCAGAGTCTTTACTTGAAAGGTGCAATGCACACACAAGATAACAATCAGCACATCACATCTAGTGGCAAACAGTTAACTGACACCTTAAAAAAATGAATATGTGGAGGTTTTAAAGGGCTGGTTCACCCAAATTAATAACAAACCCACAGCCCCAGATTGTAATAGATTGTCATAGAACATGCTTAGTAATACATTCAGCTGATGGCGAGGTCTGTGCAAACTTCTATCCATATCTGAACATGAAGTCAAACCGAGTGCCCAAACAGCCATCATGTACATTTACATTCATTTTCCTGCACATTTGACTAGAAGACTATCTTGGCTTTTGTACACAAAGGAAATGTTAATATGATTTGGATTTACCCTTTTTGGGTATGTGAGTTGTGAACTCATGCGTATGCTTTGATAACTTTATAACTGAAAATGTTTAACAAACTATTTAAGTAAGTAACGGTAAATGCAGCAAGCTGAACGTTCAGGCTCTGATGCTCATTGCAAAGAACAATGTGGAACACACTATGTATCTGTAGGACACTGTGGGGTCATGTGGGGTGGGGTCAATCTCTATCCCTCACAGGTTCCACCTTTGCCTTGGTTTCTGGACAAGCTGTTTTAGTTGATAGTTGATAGATACCCTCACACACATTTTCAATGCATCCATCATGTTGCCCTGACCTGACTGAAACCACTGATGTTCATACCCCATAATTGTTCACCTTTACTTTGGCACCAGCCTTAATTTGGTTACTTCTACCATGGTATGTCTCAGACACTAATGGGGATCTGATCTTTCTCAACAGAGTAACTTCTTCCGGAAAAACAAATGCTTATTCACAGCATTTAATAATCTATCAAATGATCTTAGTAAATTGATGAACTTATAAAATGTTCCATGCATCATCTTCAAATTGCTTTTCTTTGACCAAAAGTCTAAAACCCTAAACTTTTTCATTTACAATGATTAGAATCAACAAAGAAAACCAGTAAATACTCATTTGTGAAGCTGGATTAGTGAATGTTTGGTATTTTTTCCTTTACTTAATCAAAATTGTTATTTACTGCCAATATAACTGTTTAAGCACTCAGCTATTTTATAAATTAAACAAGCGCCAACTCACGTTAGGATGGATCCCACACGTAACACACGCACATCTTCACCTCATTATTCTGACTGGAACAGATTTTCTTTATTAGAACAGGATGGTCATACGGTCAGTGTGATGGAAGAGAATGAAAGTGACACAGTCCTGTTATAACCAATGTACACATGACAGTGTATATGTGTATGTGTGTGTTGGATTAGGTTGAGGTTCAACGCTGGGAGTAAATGCATGAAAAGATGCATAGCCCGCCAACACATTTATTTTTTTTTTTTTAAAAAAGGTCTTGTGAGCTTTCACATGCATTCAGACTAGGCGTGATTCACCCTTTCCACAGCGACGTAGAAACTTTTCTTGTCATCCAAACAGTGCCAGCCAATTGGTCCAATCTCACAATCTGCACAGATGAGATACTTGATTCTCCCGACGTCGTTAGTGAAGCCAACGTTCTCAAAAGTGTACATGTCGTCCACAAACCAGTGGGCGGTCAGAGTGTCCCCGTCCACTGAGCCCTCTGTGGTGCTGAGGCCGCCCTTTTTCCGCATGGATGGTAGGAACAGCTGTTGGTAGAAAACACAACCACGGATGACATAAAAACACTTCTGAAAGAACTCACAATCAGTAGTGCAATAAAGTGTTTCAACTTATGTATTGTAAATATGTATATGTACCTATGTGTCTCTCTGCTTACTGTTTTTTCAATGTTAGAGGACTTTGTTAGATCATTAGGAAAAAGTAACAATACAACAATGTAGAAAATTCTCCATTACAAGTAAAAGTCATGCATTTATTGTACATTTATATGTTACTTAAATAGAAGAGCATAAGTAATGTACAAAAATGTCCTGTACAAAGTAAACTCAATGGATTAACATTGCCCATGTGTGGGTTTAAATTATCATTTTTTTTCATACTAGATTATTATTGCTGATGCATTAATATGTAAGTAGTATTTTATTGTTGAAGTTGGTTGAAGTGAAGCTATTAACTACTTTATACACTGCTGGGGAGTTTAATTTATGACACTACATAACAATTTGTGCATTATATGTTGATATAAAAGAATGAATGAGTAACTCCAGCTGTCAAATACATCAAAATCAAGTATAAAGTAGCATGAAATAGAAATACTCAAGTTATGTACCTAATATTTGACTTAAGTAAATACACACAGTTGCACTGTACGACTGGTTTTATCATCCTGTAAAGCACCTTGGATGTAATGGTGCAATACACAAACTATTCTAAACGAACCTGGTTTATATTATTTGTGGACGTATTAAATAGGCAACCCCAAAGACAAAATATCCAGAGCTAGAAGGCAGCTGTCTGTCAGCCCGCTGTCCAGTACCTCTTTCTCTGCAAACACAGCCATCCCCGGGCACAGCACCTTGGATCCGCAGCGTTGGCACACGACAGACTTGCTGTTTTTACCGTCCTCAGAAACCAGGTCGGACCGGTCCGTGCTCTTTCTGGACAGCTGATTGTTGTCCATCTCGACCCCTGACAAATAGCAAATTCACTTTGATGCACATACACAAAAGGCTCGGAACCCAGTATCGTTCAACCGCCCCACCGGACTGAACCAAGAGACTGTAGTGTATCGCAAAGGCAGACTAGCTTCAGTTAAATTAGACGTTAACGTTTTCTTAAGGCAAAGAAAGACGGCCGCACACCGATTGAGTGTACCGGAACTACGAGCCGTCGGAGCATTTGTAGTGCGGAAGTCTGTCACAAAGAAACTCACCAATATTTACATTTATCCTACATACATTAAATATAATTGACGGCGGATTTTACGCTGAACCACAATCTGACACATTTATGGTAAAGACTAACCGGAATGAACGTTAGTTTAAAAAAGAAAAACAGCACTCACACTATTTGTACACCCCTTGCTTTCATGCCAACAGGTAACAGTGACTTCAACAGACTAAACATAAGACGAAAAACTACATTACACATCCATCAGATACACACACTCGTACAAAGTAAAATAAGACGTACCTTAATGTTGTAAAAAAAATTTATTAAAACAGGTTAAAAACAACAGTAAAATCGCAAGACAGGCAGGTTAGCTAACGCTAGTAGCTGGTCTTGAAAATGACCAGCCACGAAATGCTCTCGGTCTGAAACACATAGCTGCGATTTGGTTCCTCATTAAACAGGCGCTGTTTGAAAAGAAAACGTAGGCTATAAATCATACGCGTAGGAGCCATTATACACCCCCCAACATCTAAGTCTGATGATCACTGGATTGATTCTGATATATTAACAGTATCCTGTGATTGAAAAGAGCATCACTTTCTTTTGTTCTTTCACATTGGTTATTATTTGTTTAATAGCGATGTCCGAAGGTGAATCCATAAACCGAATGTCGCCGGTGAAACTAATCTTGGCTTTCACTCAGCAGCTACCAGCTGTTATTTATTCTCCAAACAAAATTTTTTGAGATGCACAGAGAGAAAAACAAAATATGGGTGGATAGAACAGTCCTGTTGGGGTTTACGCATGACGCACAGCTTCCTCTGAATGTAGGTTTACCTGCTTCAACAACGAGCTGCTCCCGTGTTACAGACACAATGATTCTTTGCATTGTTAAGATTATATAGATGCTTTAGGAATAATCAGATTGTATTGGCTGCCTGTGTTATTTCAAAGCAAGTGGTTTGGTAGGCTACATGTCCATAATAAAAGAAACAAGCAAAAAATCTTATCAACACATGGAGATTTAAAAAGGAAAATAATTGTATTAAACAGAAATAGCTAAATTACAGATAATGAACAGGCAAAGCATGATGATATGGCTTATTTATTATATTCAAGGTGTGTGACCACTGACAAGCTATACATGTCAGTGGTCACACACCTCTGGAGCAACACGGAGCAGGGTGTGTCACAGAGGGGAATTGAACCCAGGTCTCTCACATCAAAGGCATGCGTCATCACCACTGCACCATCCTCAGCACTGCTCCATTGATGATAGTTTTTATTTCTGTAACCATTTTTCACAAGTGATTCTTTCTTAATGTATATTGTCTGCTATGTAGCAGAAGGGAGTTATAAAACTCAATTTCACTCTATAACTTGTTGTATTGTGACAATAAACCTACCTAATCAGTAATGAAAATATTTTTGTTAAATAAATATTAATATGACAGTGGCTGTGTGATCTTGGTCAAAATGCACTTTACTGATATTATCAACTTTGTAGCTCAGTGACTGTTTTGTTCTGTATAAAGTGGTACCTGGTTTAAGGCTAGCCATAAACTTCGTTTGGACAAATTCCTTTTAAATCAGTTGACACAATTGTGTTAATGGTGAGCTTTTGAATTTGAAATCAATTTACACTATAGAAATGGCAAAAAGATCACTGAGAAAGCAGTCACCAAATAGTTTTGTGAGTTTCTACATAGCAATAGTTAATTTGAGGATTTTCAGTCTGGATTTAGAGTGCGTCATAGCAAAGAGATAGCACTGGTGACATGACACCTTTGTCTCCTCTTGTCTTGTTAGACTTTTGTGCTGCTTTCAACACCACCGTCCTTCACATCCTATTACTGAGACTGGAGCATTTAATAGGCATTAAAGGTACCGCTCTAAGCTGATTTAAGTCCTATTTATCAGATCAATCTCAGTTTGTAAATGTTAACAATGAATCCTCCATGCACGCCAAAGTCACTCAGAGTTCCACAAGTTTCTGTGCTTGGTCCAATCCTATTCAACTTAATTACCTTATTAAGAAACACTCCATAAATGTTCATTGTTATGCAGATGATTAATTATATCCAATTATATCCATCGATCAAGCCAGATGAAACCAATGCATGTAAAAAACCTGGACGACCTAAAATTTTTTTATGTTTAACTCAGACAAATCTGAAGTTTTTGTACTTCGCCCCAAACACCTCTGTGACATGGTATCTAAAGATATATATAAAAAAAGATATCACTCCTGTGTTAGCTTCTCTGGACTCCTTCCCTGTAAAATCCAGAATAGAATTTAAAATCCTTCAGCTCACATACAAAGCTCTTAATGGTCAGGTATGCAATCTTCTCCCATTAATGCATGTTACTAGCTCGACTTCTTCCTTCTCCTGGAGTTTTGTGCTTTCTTTCCTTTCTCCTTCTACGGCTTTCAGCAGGTGTTTTTGCCTGCTGCAGAGTCCGGGTCTGTTGTTGCAAGCCAACTGCTGCCATAATGATCCTGCTCGACACCCACTGCTACAATAATAATTATAAACCAATCATTATTATTATTGCTATTTATATTACTACTACTATTATTCTACATCTCTATGTGAAACTTGCATTGTGCTTCTGTGTTCGCTTTCCTCCGCCTCATTCTGCAGAGAGCGCGTCTCACTAGATCACAATGATTATTATGATCAATAAACAGATGTTCATGAACTAATCCTTACCTAATGATTGATTAATATAGGACCTCCCATCATCATCATCTACTATTTAGTCCTCCATTGGGAATTATTAGGGAAGTACTTAACAATTCATCAATAACCATGCCACTCTTGATTTCTTCCCTCCCTTGATTCCTAATAACGTAATCATTAACTAGCTACTCTTTACAATTTGATTAAGACTTATTCATTAACTAATGGTTCACTAACAGTTAGTTTAGTTAGTTCCTCATTTGCTCCAGATTTGTTATCTGTTAACTGCTCAAAATGTTGTGTCCCCTATTTTAATGTGTTATCATTAGTGGAGTGTAATATACTCAAAACATGGTTAGGTAGATCTCTGTAATTCATTAAAACTGATTTCAAGATTTAAAGACAGAACATTGTTTTAAATACCATAAGAGACAAGTGATAAACAGTAGACCATGAATCATGTTGTTAATACTGCTAATACGAAATCTGCTTGAATTGCCTGAACATGAATAGGAGACAATTGGACACCATGTTTGTACATGTGGAAAAAAATTTATTACAATAATTTTCCAAGATTACCATTAATAAATATTTATGTCTACATTTCAGTGAAATGTATGCTTTATCACTTTCTACACAGGACGTTACACAAAGTCAAGAATACACATAGTTTTAGTCTTTGTAATAAAGCTTGAATAAGTTGATCTAGAAAAAGGAGTCTTAAACAGCAGTTGATACAACCTATCAATGAGTTGTAAGTTCAATAATGATTTGATTGTATATATGGCAAGGAAAACAAGAAAAGTCAACGTCTGGTAATCCTTGAAGCTCCCTTGACTGTTAAGATAGGCCGTTTTATTTAAAAACATTTCCATTGGCCTAAGGCACAGGAATACTAAAAGTTTATATCAATCATACATTACACATTTTAAACCCCATATGGTGATTTAAAGTTTTAAATTTAATAGTATACACTTAGGTGCATTTGATATTTACACCTTTCATTGCATCTGAAATCTAGCACAAAAGAAAGACTTCTAGATGACAAAAACACAATTTGACCTATCCAGATCTGTAAGATCTGTACATTGTGCGTAGCCCAGGAACGAAATACTCTAGAAATTAATCAATGACAGGTTGTCTGACTGAAACATTACGGCAAGGGAGTTCTTTTAAGTTCAACATTTTAAGCATCTTAGTCTAACCCGAACTGAGCAAATATATTTTTACAGATTTTCTGTGCCATTACGTAATTTGAAAAACATTTGTTGGGGACTTCTGTCAATTGAAACAATGCATCAAATGCCAAGGAACATCTACAAATTTCAGCATAAAAGTTCAAATAAACTTCTGTTTGTTTAAGAATTAGACTTTACCCTTGAATTTTAATCATCACTATACAATGCAACTTGGACACATCTATAGATCATATATATGGGGTTTTAAGCTGTATGTTCCTTTCATATTAATGTATTTATTTCATTGTAATTTTAGAGCGTTCACTGGGCCTTCAGAGTACAGTTCATGGTTTATTGCAGAGTGGGCCTGGGTGGGTTTGTGGTGGTTCCCCGGGGTTTAACAGACAGCTGCACAATCAGTGTCAGCAAAGTTCAAAAACATCTATTCGCACTGTGTGTTTAATTTCATCTTCCTCATACAAATGTGTGTGCAGCCTGTCAAGCACCTAAACAATCCTGGACTGCTCTACACGTTACCCCTGGTGGACAGTACATTCATCCTCTAACCTGCATGGAAACTGGGAGGGAGGAAAGGAATGGTCTGCTGTATGTGCCCTCTGCTACAGCACAAATAATACTTTATACTCTTTGTGCAATGGTAAGAGACTATGTTGTAGAAGTTGGGGTACTAGTGAGTTTCTAATATATGATTTTGGTTAAAATTCCCATTTTGATCTTACTTTAAAATGAGACTTCAAGCTTCATAATTTTTGAAGAAGTAGTGCCCGTTGACAATTCCATCTGTAGTTCAGTGGCTAGTTAATGCTACTTTATTGGAGCAAAAAAGAGCCAAACAGAAAGACCACCCAAACAAGATGTTAGCAAATCAGAAGTACAGAAGGAGCAATAAGTGACTATATTGAATTCCAGCAGCATTTTACGTGTGTGTGCGTGTGTGTGTGTGTGTCTGTGTGTGTGTGAGTGACTATAAAGAAAAGTTGAGTAAGTCACAGTCAAGCCTCTCAGAGCAGAGTGTCATCGGTACATCCTCCCTCGAGGCCGTAGCGGAACTCCTGCAGGTTAGAAACCCCGTAGAAATGGACGAACGCCGCTGCCACGACCAGGACATGAAAAA